GTCCCTGAATCTAGAGTCCTCAGATGCTCCCCCTCTCCATGCCCCCATCTCTGGCACTGCTTCTTCTCTGGATAAGGTCCCGCATTCTGCTTGTGTGTTTCTCTCTTGATGGTCCTAGGTTCCTCTGTTTATGGACTGTAAGATTAACCACTCTCCTTTTTTTTGTTACAAAACATCTACCTTTACAATTGTGACAGTTGCGATTAGTCATGATAACAATTATTCACTACTAAATCTTACGAATGTTATCCCCATCTCTTTTCACCAGACCCACCTAGACAAGATGACAACTATTCAGTGGGGACTCTTTCGTTACCCCATACTCTTAAACTAAACTCCCTCTTGAAACCTTGTAAGCTAGTCACTTTGTGCCTTTATTGCTCCCTCATTTTAGGTAGACAATGTCTAAGTTGCCCGTCCCTATCTACCCTGTGTACAGAGTGGATAGCATTGATACTTGAAGACTCTTTCCCTCTCTGTTGGTAGTTAGAGTAACTACCGCTCTGAGTATAGGTCAGGTTCATCATGAAGATGTTATCTTCTGTCTGCTTGCCCTTCCTAGTGGGAATGTCCCACCTCATGAGGTTCTGGATGGGACACAGGATTCCACCTAAGGTACTATATGCTGTGAAGGCTTTGCAGGAGGCCTATTTCACCGGGCAGGTTGTAGAACCCCTTTTTAGGTACTCCAATCAGTTATAGGCTAAAGACGGGCTTACAAGTTTTCTCTGATCATGTTTCCCAACATTCCTGTCTATCCCACTCACGTGTCTATTTTACAATAGTAAGCAAGGGAAACTAATACTCATAAGGCAGTCAAGGATTTTTTAGTATATTTACCCTTTTCAAGCTATACCTAGATCCCTGTATCCCAGAGCCCTGTTGTTTCAAGGTTGAGTATGTATCACTATTTACCTCTGTCCCACTAGGCCATGCAAACCTGTCTCAGTGTTCCCCTATCTATCTTGTTCTTCCACCTCTTACCCCCACTTCTTGTATTGCCCTCCCCAAACCCAAACTAAACCACCCACCCCAACTCCACTGTGGTTACCTTATAGTCCCTTAGTTCTTCCCTCCATTTAAGACAGTCTATTTTATCCAGTAACCTACACCTGACCTTCCCACCACCTGG